AGAGAGGAGAGAGAAGGAGGGAGAGAGGAGAGAGAAGGAGGGAGAGGGAGAGAGACCAGGAGGGAGAGGGAGAGGGAGAGAGACCAGGAGGGAGAGGGAGAGAGACCAGGAGGGAGAGGGAGAGAGGAGAGAGAAGGAGGGAGAGAGGAGAGAGAAGGAGGGAGAGAGGAGAGAGAAGGAGGGAGAGAGGAGAGAGACCAGGAGGGAGAGGGAGAGAGGAGAGAGAGGTGGAGACAAAGAGATACAGAGTGACAGAGCAGAGCGTGAGACAAAGAGACAGACAGAGAGATGAAAATGAATGCGGAAGTCGGAAACTGGTTGATAAAACACACAGGGTTCCCTATCAAGTGTTTCCACTTCCTGCTTCCGGTCATCATTGACCTTGAAGTGAGCTGTTGGCCAGATACAAGTAGAAACATTGACTCAACCCTCTATGTCATCCTCTATGTCATCCTCTATGTCATCCTCTATGTCATCCTCTATGTCATCGTCAGTGTCATCGTCTATGTCATCCTCTATGTCATCCTCTATGTCATCCTTTATGTCACCCTCTATGACTTGCCTTTTATCCCAACTGAACAGAAGGATTTTGTCTGACAGATGTTTCGATCTCTGTGAGAATCAGAACAATAGAGGGCAATGTTTTCTGCAGATAGCCGAGTACTTGTCCTGTCTTTGCTTGTAGTAAACGTAGGGGGGGTATCAAATGTGTGTGTGTGTGTGTGTGTGTGTGTGTGTGTGTGTGTGTGTGTGTGTGTGTCTGTGTGTATGTACACACGGCCATGGTCCCCGCCCAGTGACAGACTCATGTCCAGTTTATCCGCCCCATGCTGGGAAAAGGCGGGAGCTGCGTGAAGCCCGGGTCATAAAACTTGTCCTAATGCTCCAACGTCCCCGCGACTATCATATACTTTGATTACCTTCACTACCATAGCCCTACCATCATTACCATAGCCCTACCATCATTACCATAGCCCTACCATCACTACCATAGCCCAACCATCACTACCATAGCACTACCATCACTATCATAGCACTAACATCACTAACAGCGACTACCATAGCCCTACCATCACTACCATAGCCCTACCATCACTATCATAGCACTACCATCACCACCATAGCCCTACCATCACTACCATAGCCCTACCATCACTATCATAACACTACCATCACTACCATCACTACCATAGCCCTACCATCACTACCATAGCCCTGCTATCACTATCATAGCACTACCATCACTACCATAGCCCTACCATCACGGCCATAGCCCTACCATCACTATCATAGCACTACCATCACTACCATAGCCCTACCATCACTATCATAGCACTACCATCACTATCATAGCCCTACCATCACTACCATCACTACCATAGCCCTAC